CTTTCCTATTTTTACATTCATATGTGGAGAAGTAATTATTTTGTTTAAAATTCTTACTTGTTTAGGCAACTCACTTCTTAATTAAGCCTGATCCTTTCTTTGTGCTCCTTGACTAACAATAATATCAGATTTGTCTGGAATGATTAATGTCTTGTGCTTCCCAAGTCCTCAGCTGAGTAAAGATTTATAGACCAACATTTTCCTGTTTTCTGATAGTCAGATTTTTCTTTTTCTTTTTTTTTTTTCCCCCTCATGTTGCACTCTTTGGCATTTGCTTCTGTTTTTCAGGTGTAAATACTGTGACAGGTCATTCAGCATTTCCTCCAACCTCCAGCGGCACGTTCGAAACATCCATAACAAGGAGAAGCCATTCAAATGCCACCTGTGTAACCGATGCTTTGGGCAGCAGACCAACTTGGACCGACATCTGAAGAAACACGAACACGAGAATGTTCCAGGTAGGAAAGGGCATGGCCGTGTGGTTCTATCGGGGCACTGGAGGGAGAAGACACCCTGGTCTGGTCTCTCTGGTCACCTTGGGAAGCCTTTGTGGAAAGCACTGTTCCTTCAGGCTGAATGTCGTCAAGCAGCACAAAGCGAACGCCAGCTCCTCGTGCAGCCGAAGATGCGTTTATCCGCGGTGCGTAACTGGGACACACACGTGTATACCAGCCGTAATGCTGAGCAGCACCTGTATTTCTCTGTGTGGTTCAAGTCTGGAAAACAGGAGCTTCCTTTGGCAGCTTTGGTCCATGAGATTTCTCTTAAATCATCAATATATAGGGAGGGGATTGTTGCCCAACGTTCCTCCTTTGTTTTTCCTCTCAATAATACCTTTAACAATATCTGATTGTTTCTCCTGTTCTCTTTTCTTGTTTCTCTCGCTCAGTGAGCCAGCACTCCGGAGTCATTACAAACCACCTTGGGACCAGTGCCTCTTCCCCAAACTCGGAATCAGACAACCATGCACTTTTAGATGAAAAAGAGGATTCGTATTTCTCTGAAATCAGAAATTTTATTGCAAATAGTGAGATGAATCAAGCATCAACTTTAGCGGATAAAAGGTAGACAAACAAATAAAATTTCCTGGTGACGTGTGCCATTAACGTGGTTGAAAGACCAGTCAGCCTCTGTCCTGCAGATTTAAAATGCTCAAAAGAGAGAAGTGTAGCAGTTTGGAAGCAAAATGCGTTCAACTTCAAGCTCTAAGCCCAGCATTAAGCCTTTTCAGAAAGTGACTTAACTCGGGAGGGCTGACACCAGAGAGCCACTAACTGGTGGGAGCAACTGGTGGAGCCATTTGATCACGAGAAGTTGTGCCAAGAGAAGGCAGGCTGACTGCTGCCCTTGGCTCCAGCGCAGTGGTCATGAGAAAACACAATTTCTTCTGTAGATGAAAATATGATTATTGAACCGTTACCTTCTGCCGTGAATCCACGTGGCCTGTTCCAGCACCGATCAGAGAGTCCTGGTTAAGGAAGCTGGAGGCACCTGCTTTTCTAGTCCATCGGTTTGTTTCAAATCTATCCCCATCACAAGCCTTATTTTGACTGGGTGATACCTCACCCGCTGCTATCCTGTTCTCACGAATAGCTGTTTGATACCAATACTATGGTTTAAGTCCCGACTGTGAGAAATCCACATGAGGTTGTGATCCACGGAAAGAACAGTAAGAAGCGTGGACCATGCTGACGTAAAATTTCTGGTGAAGGTGTTAATGCTGTTTTGTGTCAGTTGGTGGCACCCTGTTGGGTTCCAAGTCCGTAGCACTGGTGATGCCTCTCTCGTTCTCTTCACGTAACGTAAAACGGCTGGTTTTGTGGGGTCTGCTGGGTCCGTACGGGCACGAATAGTGAAAGTAATACAGGAGAGTTTAGGCTGGTGGTTAGATTACACCGTGCAGAAGTTTTCTCCTTCTGGTTGCTTGAAGGGAGATGATTAGAATGCAGGAGCGCAGAGACGGAGGAAAGCCAGTTGTCTCGCAAATGTTATATTTTAAGAGATGGGAAACCATCATTGAAGTCCAGGCTAGACAAAATTCTAGTTGAAGAGCACTGGCGTTGGTATGTACTTGACATGCTTATTAGCCCTTTAAGACACTGTGAAGGCTGATTTTTGAATGCCTGAAAGATGTTGGTTTTCCTTTTCCACGCAGTTTAAACAATATGTGTGTATGTCTCTGTATTCATACATATGTATAACATTATCACATTACGTTGTGAATGCACGACTTACACATTTGGCATCTTTTCTTTTTTTTCCCTCTCTTTCTTCTCCCCTCCTTGACCAAATGTTTCAGGCCAGAAATCCAGGATATTGATGGCAATTCCCAGTGTCACGGATTAGCAAATGAGAAAACAGAAGACGTGGATGATGAAGATGAAGAACTGGAAGAGGAAGATGATGACAGCCTGACCGGGAAGTCACAGGATGAAACAGTATCACCTACCGCAGAGCCCCGAGGAGCATTTGAGGATGAAGAAGATGAAGAGCCCACATCTCTCACCATGAGCTTTGACCACACCCGAAGGTGAGGCGGGCCGTTCCCTTTGAGCAGTCACGTGGGGCTCAGACCTCTGCCCCTGTGTCAGTGGTCGGTTGTGAGTGCTGTTGTTTTGTTTTTCGAGCCATGTGTCATACCTCCAGTTTGATTTGAGCATTCACGTGAGACATTCCATTTCCACCATGGCGGGGGACACAAAGCAAGTGGACTGCAAGGAGAATCTCTGATGAGGTGTATATATCCAAGAAGTTCCTTTCAGGAGAACAGTCCAACAACAGACAGCAGCATTTTCGGGGTACCGCAGTTCAGCACATAATGTCTTTCTCTCTAAAACACCCGTCAGGGCAAAGGAAGAGGCGTATGTGTGTGACCCGCTTGGTGCTGCTCTGCCTGTTTTAGTTGTAGCAAACTGTTGTTGACTTCAAGCAGAGTTCTCAGGGCTCTGGGAAAAAGTGAAGCTTCTTTTTTCCAAGGTCAAGCCACGTCCAGAGACCTTTAAAATTAAAGTTTGTTGGACATAGTGTAGGCTTAGCTTTCTTTTTGCCTCAGTTTGCCTCAGTTTCCCAACTGGTGTTTCTGCCAGATGTCCCATGATGCAAAGTAGTATCTTGGTTTCGGTGCATCACTGTTTTCCTTGCAACTCAAAGACAATGCAGAAGTGTTCTTCAGACATTGATCCGGTGTCAAACATTTCAGGGAGCGGGCAGCAATTGGACATCTCCACTGAGAAGACCAAAGTGAAGGGCAGCCCTGCTGAGTCACGGATCTCTGTAGCACTAGTGCTTGTTTGTGCATAGTCGCGCTCTCCACTTCTTCTTTGCTCCTTGCATTTTGTGTCGTTTTCGTGTTCGTCTGTCTGTCGGTTCACGCATGTGGCTTGTGAGACCCCCATGGTATGTGCATGCAGGCCCTGGGTTAGCAGCCCTCACGTCGGCTAGATGTGCACGGTGAGATGAGCTAACAACGGGTCAACCCCTTCCCCTGGTCATTGGTACAGGTGTATTGAGGAGGACGAAGCCGGCTTGTTAGATTTGGAGCAGATGCCGAATTTTGGGAAGGGGCTGGATCTTCGCAAAGCAGCCGAGGAAGCATTTGAAGTTAAAGATGTGTTTAATTCCACCTTAGACTCTGAGACAATAAAACAGACTCTGTACAGGCAGGCTAAAAACCAGGTGGGTATATGACAGAACGTTTTCTCTAGCTTGCCGCCAGCGCGTACCATAGGGTTAGCGAGCAGCTGGCCTCCTTTAGCTGAGGTTTATTTTCCCCTTCCAGTGAGCAGGAATTCTGACTGTAAGGCGTGAATCATGTGAGAACCCTGTCTTGTTGCCGCTCTGCTGAAATAGAGGAGAAGCGGAGCGGGCATCAGTTTTAGGTCACCAGGTCAGTGTGTCATTTAGCCTGTGCGGTGAGACCGTGCTTATATGGAAAGAGAGAGGCATCTGTCTGTTTTTACCTGTCTGTATAAATGTTTTTATAACTATGATTTATTTGTACTTTGGGGTGAGTCTTCAGGTGGTACATACTAAGAAACTCGAGGTCTGGGCAGCAGAAACAGTAATGAAGTGTCCTTGGGTTTGGTCATGAACGGTGCAATAGACAGTAGTATTTCCAGGACTTGGAGTCCAGCAAGGCTAGAGGATTTCCTCAGTTATCTCCCTGATTTCTGAAAGCAAACCGTGAAATGGAAATCTGCCCTGTGAGCTAGGCCAGTTCAGACCCACCAAGAAACCTCAAAATGACATCTCGGCCCCTGTTGGAGTTTTGAGAAAAATCTGGCGGTGTGGGGCAGATCCATTCGTGCTTTCTGCTTTCTCATTAAACCAAAACACTCAGTCTAGTTTTATGAAGTCCATCTCTTGATCCTTACAAAAGGATTCTCACAAAAGAACTGCTCAATGAAGTTACATCACCAGACTGACTGGAGAGAGCATACTCAGCCCTTCACAGGGATGAGTGCAGCTCTTGCCTCGGGAGTCCTTTCCTAACCTTCAAGCAACAGAATTTGCCATGAAATCTCCTTTAAATGTCCAGCAAAAGAGCAACTTAATACAGTTCTGCCAAGCAGAACACAATTCCTTATTTATCGTCACCCAGAAGTTGTGAAATTCTCAACCTCCCTCATAGTAGGTGCTAGTGCTGAAGCTGGGGAAGGTCTGCTTGAAGATAGGGTGCAGCCGGGTGAAACTAGTTCAAACACAAGCCACTTGCCTGACTCTTACGTGTGTCCTGTTACTAATATGCCCAATGTACTAACTATTTCGGAGCAGCTTGCTCTTCTAAAGTCTGTGCTACCCTGTTAGGTCCAGCCTGTGCTCGGATGTGGGGGCAGTATTTTTGATTTTTGAGTCCACGTGAGCAGCACAGCGCTCCTTTGGAGCTGTCGTTCTTTTAAGCAGGTCTAGGAGCGTGCGTGTCCCTGACACTACAAAGCTGCACCTCTGCCAGCGCTCACCTGCGGTACGTGAATGTGTTGACTTGACAAGTAGATCTGACTCTCAGATCTAAAGAGGAGAGGCCGAAGTTGGATAACTGGTTCATACTGTCACCATTTCAGCTGCATTACTAAGGGTCCTGCTGTACAGGGCGTGGTGCTGGTGTCACAGATAACTCACGGTCTTTGTCTGTTGCCCTGCAAAGGGTTGGGTGTGGGTTGGTGCAACCTCAGTGTGAGAGGAGAGGACTACACGATTTCATTGCAGAGCTGGAGCATACCATTGCGCCAGCTAATGTAGACCAGGGTTGGCCTTCACCTCCAGGCGTGCGAGGTTATCGTCTGTCTGAGTCCTTACATCACTTGTGTGGGCTGTGAAAGGGCACAAAGGTGTAGGGGACAGGTAGTCTTGGAAGAGGGAGAGCATCTGGGTTACAGGGAAGCAAGCAGATTGTTAGGGAGAAGACAGAAGTCTCGAGGCGTTTTTCTCAGCAGACGCTTTTAACCATTTCGCTGCAGCAATAAATCCGCCCCGACAGGAACACACGAACACCCTGTAACGGCGGGTGAGGTTTCACGCCTGCGTTCCTGCATACCCACGTGCCGGTTCCTGCAGGCCCCCGCGGGCTCACGCCGAGCAGTGAGCCAGGACGAGAGGCCTGCTGCCCGCTGCTGCCCCTCGGGTTGCAGCTAGCGTGCGTGTTGCTGCGCCGTTTCTGGGGCGCGGGCCCGGGCCCTGGCCTCGCTTAGCCCGCTGCTTGCTGCAGGTGTGCTCCTTGGAAAAGCGGAACAGAGAAACTGCTGTTCTGCGTGTAGCCGCTTTCCCCCGAGAGCAGAGCCTAGAACCGCGTGGGTGGGTTTGTGACCCAGTGCGGAGCTGGCCCAGGGTGGATTTGGTCCTGGAAAAGCCAGTGGGGATGCTGGCCCCTCCGGACTAACCCCACAGCTGCCTGTAAACCCTGTGGCACATTCGAGTAGTTGGAGTGACGGGCGTCATCCTAGCGCGTGGATGTAAATGTAGAGCTGCTGGCCAGGTGCTTAGCCCAGGCCGAAGGATGCCGCTGCCCGTGTGGGGAGCTGGGGCTGCGCTTCACACGGGTTGTTGCAGCCTGTCCTGCGTGTGTATTCACACGTGTCCTCTGCATTCCTCTCTTCTCCTCCAGGCTTATGCAATGATGCTGTCCCTGTCTGAGAACGCTCCCCTCCACACGTCCTCCCAGAACTCTCTGGGTGCTTGGTTGGACATGGCAGGAGCAGCTTCAGAGTCGGGGACCTTTAACCCCATCAACCACCTCTGAGAGGTCAACAAGGCACTGGCCAGAGTCCAAGCGAGGAGGCGGTGGTGCTGCAGTTATCCTAGCAAAAATCCTAGCAAGCAGAAGATGGATGAGAGGGCCTCAGGGAGTCGTCTGGACTTTTGGCTGAGAAGGAAACATGTCGCATCCGACCTACACGTCCTGCATTTTTATCTATCCAGGGTTTTCATTTCTAATTTATCAGAATGAACCTCTCCAAAACTGGACAACCCTGATGCAGCCCTAGGATTTCACAAGTCTGTAGGAATAGCACGAGCAAGACGTGAATTGCAACAGTGCAATCAGCTGTTGGCCCCTCTAACATTGCCAAACAGTATCGCCGAGCCAGTAAAGCCTGCGTGTCGATGAAAGCTTGAACCCACTCGGTAGCATTTCCCTTCAATTCAGCTGAATAGTGAAGTAATAAGGAAAGAGAGCCAGGTGTGACCGATCCCTGGTGCAATTCTGACGTGGTCGCTGGAGTTATACCAGGGAAGGGTAAATTCAACCCATTTAATTGACCCCCAAAAGAATTTGAAGCTCTGTGCTCCCGCAGAAATACCGTCCTGTCCGTTGTTCCCCGCAAACCATACTGGCACAGCGCACAGCTCCTCGAACGTGAGGCCCCGTGGCCCGCGGTCGCGCCATACGCAGTGTCCCGGTGGAGAAATCTTCAGCCTGGAGTGCTGCTGCGGTTGGGGTGACCGAGGTACCATGCAAATACGTGGTTCGTGGTCGCCAGCTGCGCCCCGAGCGCCCTTCCATCCGTGCCGACGCGGCGAGGGTCCGAGCCTTTCCGTCTCTGGTGGTGCCCGTGAGCTCCGGCTGCTGCCGGGGCTTGAAGCCTCCCGTGTTTCAGGAAGAGCCACGCTCGGCTGGTGAGGGGGCGGGGGCGCTGCATGCCCCGCGACCGGGCTGCCCATGAGGCTTGGGCTTTCCCAGGCAGAGAAGTCCCGGGGTAAACCCTCCCCTGGAGAGGGGGGGCTGTGTGTGAGGAGGCGTGTGGTGGGCGAGTCTCCCCGAAGAGGGGCGGTTCAGACACGTCTTCTGATTGAGCTCCCAGGGCTTTTCTAGAGCGACAGCCTGTCGGTGGTGATAGCACCCGGGAACCGTGGCAGAAGTTTCTGACTCGTGCGGTTGGTTTGGTATGTTGGGTGGTTGCTTATGCATCTCACACTGCTATTTGGCCTATAATTTAAGTAGAAAGATTGAAATTCTTCTGCTTCAGCAACCTCAGGGGTACAGCGCTCTGTTCAAGCACATAGCTAAGAATCCAGTTGTCTCTCTGACTCTAAAATTGCTTGCAGATATTTTCTGAGTGATTTTAAATCACTTCAAAGTCTCATCTTCTTTACTGACAGAAGTACTGTGATGTTTACGCTGGTCTACACTGCAGTTACGATCAGCTGCTGGAGCAGAGGTTTTGCTGGTAAAGCTGAATTACAAAATAGTCAGGAAAGCCGTTAGACCTTCAAAAGGCTCGCGCTGGCTGCGCAGGTAACCTTTTAGAATGTGCGTCCTAGAATTTTTGAATTGCAGCATCTAAGAATGAGAAGTGCTGAGGACTCTGCCTGCGCGGCGCAGACAGGAACAGGCGGAGGCTTCTGTGCCAGTCAGTGTGGAGGACCGCGCCGGCGAAGCCCCGGTGCAGCGTGCTAAAGCCAAGGAAACGGCTGCTCAGATCAGGCGGAAGTTGCGTTAGGAACAACACCTTTGGGATTCACTCTTGGCGCCCACAACCGCGCGTGAGGCTGTTTTTAGGTAGCCAGGAGCCTCAGACTGTCCACGGAGGAAAGCATCTAGGGTGGCTTGGGTAGAGAAGGAGCAAAAGGTAAATCAGCGGCATCAGCGCGTTTTCCGAGAAAATTGACCCTTCCTTTTTTGGTTTTCCACATCCCCCTGTGAAAGTGCCCAAGGCTCTGAGACCAACGGTCC